CTGATCCATCCTGAGCATGGACTCGTGGTCGAAATGATGGTTCGTCGCGCCACAGCGGAAAATAGTCAATAATGATACCATACTATTACTCAGGCTCTTGACCTTGACTTCACTMCATCTGTAGGGTCCCGTGCAGGATGTGACCCTGGCCCTGGCCATACTCATGGAGGCGTGCGGAGTGGTTCATTGGATGTGAAGATCATGCGGGTTCGAGCTGATGGCGGCTATGGTGAAGAATAGAACAGCCTGAGGAGGTCTTGTTGCTTGTTTGGATGGTGGTCCACGGAGGACTCGGAGTGCATAGACACTTTGTCTTGAAGTCGGTAGAGCAAGTAATCTATTTTTGAAAAATATAGCAGCCGACAACACCATTGACGGATGATGAGACTGGAAGAGTTTCAGGGCGAGACGCCAGCGGTCTTGGCTAGGGGCTTGCTTTTGCTTCGCTTATTTTGAATAGGTTTTTTTACTACCTGAGTCAGGAAGTGTGATGCTTCGTTTGTTTGTCAGCATATGCTGCAGATTGCCATTGAATCTGCATGCTGTATGCCGTGGATGTAGAATAGAGGATACTGCTAGAGTGTTGTGTTGCTGGGTAATTTGACGTGTCTATGGGCAACGGCATAACAGGTGATTTGTCGAGAATAGGTAGCTGCGGGCTTTCTTTTCCCTTCTTCTACTTCTCCACCTATCTACCTCATCGTCCACTCAATCCCGTCCATCCGTCCATCCATGCATAAGCCGACTGACTTTTAGCTTTTAACCTTTTGCTTTGTATTTATGGTGATGATAATCATGATGATTTCCATCTTCGACATCGTACAAGCTTACCGCGAGGAGCCCAATGCGGCATCTGCAGACTAGGCGCCTGTTGAACCCCTACCACCGCATCTCTGCATTTTTTGCAATTTCCCTGAGGTGTGCCTCCTCTTCTGCATGACCATGCTAGTGACAAATAAGCTGCCATATACATACCATAATAGGCAAACCGCTGCAGGGAAGAATCGACCCCTCCAGGGAGTCAGGGACTGAGGCCGCTTCTAGACTGAGCGCCCCCGCAGTCGCCGGCATTCTCGCTTTAATTAGTTAGTCCAGTCGAGGTATGTGAGCTCGCCTCCATCCGAGTAGTTCGGTTTACTTGACTCCTATGAAGTAGTCTGGTCTCCTAGATCCGGGCAGCCCTGATGAAGATGATTGGTGGTTCTTCGCGCTTCCCTGATCAGTTTCTGCTTTCTGCTCTGTTCCTGCACTAGCGCGCGACTTCAGACGGACTGCATTTCTAGTGCATGCCGGCCAATTGGCCCCTGAGGCGTTTCAACTCTGATCGCTCATTGGCAACAGCGCTCTAGTCTCACGGTTTCACCAGCTAAATCAGGCAATGCCTGTCTAACGGTTGCTGGATGTGTTGAAAAGAGGCGTTTCTCAGAATGTCTTACCTGCTTTTTTGGGCTCAATGCTTGACAAAGATGCTCCGCCGGGTGTCCTGTGAATGGTCCGTTTGGACTGGCCCATTGTCCCAGAACCACCATGGCCTTTGTCCCTTTGACCCTATTGATGGATCATGAGGGGCATGTGGTTGTTTCACTTGCACCTCCAGAACCGGTCAATGGCATGCAATGTACGGAGTAGTAATGTTGTGGCTCGTTTCATGTTGCCAGGGCCCTTCGGCCGGCTTTTAAAGAGAGCTGTATGCCCTCTTCTGCTTGAAGAGAACTAAGCGTTTTGTTTTCTGTTTTCCTAGTTCTATTACTTTGCCTTGGCTCTGACCAAGTCGACCTTCGCTTTCTTTTCTATCATTGTCGTTGCTCTTTGGTGAACTGTGATCCCAAAGACGCTCCTCCATTCACCCGTCGGATTCACTCTTTGTGCCTTCGGGATCGTTGCCATTATTCTATTCATAGATCTGCTCTGGAATTATTGTTGTCGCTGGTGTACGATATCAATAATAGTAGTAGTCTTCTTCTGGATCTTCTTTCTGTGCAACGCAACTTCGTCCTCAACTTTCTCTTCCTATCTTCATCCACTGTCTGTCGCTCTAACTCAAATACAAACTCAACATGAAGGCCGTTTCGGTCACTCTCGTTTCTCTTTTCGCCGTGGCCCAGGCCACTGGCTCGGTGAGTGTCCTTGAGTCCCTCAAGTCTCTTGCTTGTATACCTTTCTGACTTTCTCTCCAGTGGTGGGTCACGGACAAGTGCTACTCCAATCCCGAAAACTCCGACAACCACTGCACTGAACATCAGCAAGGTGGCTGGGATTGGTCTGACCTTACCACCGGATCCTTCTCCTCGTATGGAGGCTTCGATTTCTCCGGTTTTAAGTGCAGTGACAGCTTCAGCGGTGGCGGCAAGCGTAGCTTCGGTGGTGTAAGTCCGCTCAATTTTCTCCTTTCACATCACAAAAGCAAGATGCTGATGGCGCACAGGGCAAATGCATTGAAGGAAAGCTCTCCTCTACCCCCAAGTTCTCCTGTGGCGAAAAGCAAAAGGGATTCTCCATTAGCAAGCTGCACCTCTCCACCTCCAAGGAGACCGACGTGCACATCATCTATGGCATGCCTGATGGTTCCACCTGCCGTAATGTCGCTTCTTGCTCGCCCGAGGGCACCCAGGTCACCAACGACCAGTGCGGTGGTGCCACCTCCGTGAGCTTCCAGCACCCCGAGGGATCGGAGGATGATGACTGTGACATCGGTGTCCACAGCATTGACTTTGACTGCTCTCCTGGCAAGACCACATCGACTCACACCGCTGCTGTGCCAACCGAGACTGGTGTCAGCCCCGAATCGTCCTCCACTCCCACTAGCCATCATGCCCATTCCACTCCTCTTCCTTCCTCGTCTGATGTGGTCCCCACGTCGTCTTCTGCAGGCATCACGACGCCCGTACCTGTCAGCACTCCTGTCAAGTGGACTACCTCGACCGTGTACACTACTAGTGAGATCACCATCACCAGCTGCGCTCCTACGGTGACCAACTGCCCCGCCAATTCGATCAGCGTCATTACCTCAACCATTGCAGTTTCGACCACTGTGTGCCCCGTTACTGCCACCGAGACTGCCTCTGTCTCTCTGCCTTCTTCTGTTGCTGCCGGCTCGAGCTCTGGAAGCCCGACCCCCGACGTCACTCCTTCTGAGACTGCTACTGAAACTGCTCCATCCGAGACCG